TTCTCTCTTGCAGACAGAGAGGGAAAAACCAAAACCCTCTCCTTCTTTTTATCCCAAATTATTTAAAAATAATCTTAAATTTTAAAACCCTGCAATTGAAGTTTGAGTTATGCAGGCAGATCAGACGGTGATAAGCTTGAGACCAGGAGGAGGAGGAGGTGGCAGTAGTGCTACTCGTGGCACCAGATTCTTCACCCCTCGCCCTGACTCTGCTTCTCTTTCTGATGCTTCTCAACCCTTTTCCTCTTTCCAGGTACCGAAAGGATTCAATCTTTAATTCAATTTTCATCTTCCTAGATCTGGGTTTTTTAGAAGATTCAATCTTTCCATTGTTTTTGTCAGTTATTTGTGGTTTAGATTGTGTAATTACGTTAAAAGCTTTTTTTTGTTTACAAGTTTTTACTGCCAATATTGTGATTTTGTTTAAAAGAAGCCATCTTCGGCATGGTGTGAAAATTGTAAGTGAGAATATGATTAGAATTGTCCTAATTCTTGGCGGGGCACTTAAGTTTTTGTGCTACCTTCTGTAAATATGGACAAAAAGTAATTGTTGTATGTGGGATTTAGGTTGGTTTTCATGGAGTTTAGTGATGCCCATAAAGAACCTACATTACATGAAAACACCCCTTTAGAGAAAATTAGGGGATGCAGCAGCATGTTGTATGATATGTTTTTTGATTCATCTGATTGATCGCTATTGTGGAATAGACTGGTGACTTGCGGTTTGAAGACCATGAGCGCATTCGCTACACGCGAAACCAGCTGCTGCAGTTTAAAGAGGTAAGTGTTACAATCAGCTTTCCTAAATTTTTTTTTGTCATGTTAATTATTGAGTGCTAGTTAGAAGACTTATTTTGTAGTTTAAGGCTAAACTGTGGGTAGTTTTTTTCCCCTTTATTTTAATTTGCTGAGGTATGTAACATGGAGTAACTGCTTTAATGCTTCCTATTTAATTAAAGCAAATCGGTTACATCTATCATCACGTAGCTGCTCTTTTTTTCTAGATTGAAAATGTTCCAGAGGATATTCTGAAGATCAGACAAGAAATTGAGTCTGAGTTTGTTGGTGATGATCAAATTTGGAGCCGTGCAGATGGCAGTGTAAGTTTTCAGATTATATCTTTTCTTCATGCTCTCTTTATACTGTTATTTTACATGTCAAAATTAGGTGTTGCTGTCAAGATGTGATTTTTGTAATTTTATATCTTTTTCCCTTTTCTTTTTTGCTTTCATATCGGTGCTTGTGCCTGTGTGTAGACTGGACAAACTTTCTCATGACAAGTCCTTTCTTATGTTTATGTATATAGCTATTAATCAATTATAACTTTAATATATTTTTTTCTGCTCTGTGTAGCCTCAATCTCAAAGTCGTTATTCTGAGCCAGACAAGCGTGATTGGCGTGATAGGTCTGGAGCTTTTGGAGAGGAAAAATCTTTGGAAGCAATTCGAGGAAATAAGGAGTTCTCCAATCGGCAAGACCAGCTCAACTCCCAGTTTGCAAGGGCTCAAATCACTGCTAATAAAGGGGTAAAATTTCTAGTTAGTTCAGTTAGAAATTCATAGTTATTAATAATGCAAAATGTATTAATACTGTCTTTATGTTTTAGTATAAATTTTTTGTTGATATTGATACAACATGGAGGTTCTCTCTCTCATAGATAGCCGTGACAGGAGAATGAGATTTTGGTTGTAACGAAAGAAAGAATAATTGATGCCCTTTGGAAATGATTTTGGTTGCCATTTTTAATGCACGTTTAGCCTGATTTCAATATCTTTTTGAAATAAGGGTATTAACATCTTGTTCAAACCAGGTAGGGCCTGCTCCTGCTCTGATCAAGGCTGAAGTGCCATGGTCAGCTCGAAGAGGGACTCTCTCTGAGGAGGAACGTGTCTTGAAGACAGTGAAAGGGTAATTAGTCATTTAGTTGATCTGCTGACTCCAACATTCCTAAAAGAAAAGGACCCAGATTTTTAGAGGCTTTGCCCTTGGAAACGATTTTTGAATGTGTTCAGTGGAGAAGTTTCTTTTAGTGCTTTATGTTGTGACCAGTGCTTTATTTTCTGTGCAGTATATTAAACAAATTGACACCAGAGAAGTTTGATGTTCTCAAGGGGAAACTGATTGATTCTGGAATCACAACACCTGATATTTTAAAGGTTCCCCTTGTACATATCTTCAGTCATTCAGATTTTCAGTGATTTTTAATTTTATAGTCAATAATATAACTGGAGCTGTTTGTATTTTAGGGTGTTATCTCTCTAATATTTGACAAGGCAGTCCTGGAGCCAACATTCTGTCCCATGTATGCTCTTTTATGCTCTGACCTTAATGAGAAGCTCCTTCCATTCCCATCTGATGAGCCTGGTGGGAAAGAAATCACTTTTAAGCGGATTCTTTTGAACAATTGCCAGGAGGCATTTGAAGGTGATGACAATCTGAGGGCAGATATTAGCAAGCTGACTGCTCCTGAACAAGAAATGGAACGCAGGGATAAGGAACGATTGGTTAGGCTGCGAACTCTTGGGAACATGCGCCTTATTGGGGAACTTTTGAAGCAGAAGATGGTGCCTGAAAAGATTGTCCATCATATTGTTCAGGTCATTCTTGGAATCAAAATTTCTCCTCACTCTTTTTTTGCCATGATTAGACTGCCAAGTGATTAAATGTGTGTATCTTGTGCAATGCAGGAACTATTGGGGGATGACAATAAGACATGCCCAGCTGAAGAGAATGTCGAGGCAATATGCCAATTTTTTAACACCATAGGCAAGCAACTAGATAAAAATCCAAAAGCTCGGCAAGTTAATGATGTATATTTCAGCAGGCTGAAGGAGCTGACAACAAATCCACAACTTGCACCACGGTTTAGGTTCATGGTTCGCGATGTTCTTGATCTCCGGGCCAACAGCTGGGTTCCTAGGCGTGAAGAGGTTAATTTTCCATGCACTCCCTACTTTTCTTCTTTGCCCTGTTGTTTTGGGGTGGGGGCACAGGGGGTTGTGATTTTTCAGCATATCTACTCATGTAGAGGATGGTAATATTTTGAGAAGGGTAAACTACGAAAACTTAATTTTAGGTTTGTTCTATCTCTGTTAAGATACTTCACCATTTAGTGGGTGATTGAAAATATTTTAAAACTCAGGGGATATTGCAAAAGTTAAAATATCATTTTAAGACCCTCAACTATTTATATTGTAAAACTAAGCTCAGAATATGAAGGTAATGCTGATAGTTTAATGGAGAAAGGCAATGGTATAAAATCAAAGGGAGGGTATTTTATAAAGTTGTAGTTGAGGTTGAAAATTAACAGAACCCCTGGATGTTTTGTAGTCTCCCATTTTGAAATTGTTCTCATTCTTCCATGAATACGAGATCTGCTGAAATTCTGTAAATTGTTAAAACTGAAACATTAAATTACGTGTTAAATTCTAACATACTTGAAACACTGAAAGTTTTTGTGCTGATCCTTGTTGTTATAGGTTAAAGCAAAGACCATCTCTGAAATCCATTCAGAAGCAGAGAAGAATCTTGGATTGCGTCCAGGTGCAACTGCAGTCATGAGAAATGGTCGTAATGCTACAGCATTTGGGGGTGTGGGTCCTGGTGGTTTCCCCATTGGCAGGCCTGGTGCAGGGGGTATGATGCCTGGAATGCCTGGGATGATGAAAATGCCTGGAATGCCCGGGCTTGATTCTGACAACTGGGAAGTTCCTCGAACTCGAACAATGCCAAGGGGAAATAATTTTGGCTCAACCCAGTCCACTGGGCGTATCCCCACTTCCTTGATCAACAAATCACCATCGATTAATGCAAGACTTTTACCTCAGGGAAGTGGTGGTGTCATAGATGGGAAAACAAACTCCTTATTGCAGGGTGGTGGCACTCCTTCCCGACCTGGTTTTGATACGAGAACTGAACTTGCAGGTCAAACTCCTCAGCCTGTTGCTCCAACTGTGCCAGCAATTCCTTCTCAGAAGCCACTAGCTCCTACTACAAGGTCAAATCCTGATGATCTTCGCAGAAAAACCATTTCTCTGCTGGAAGAATATTTCAGTGTTCAAATTCTAGATGAAGCACTGCAATGTGTGGAGGAGTTGAAAGATCCAGCTTTTCACCCTGAGGTTGCTAAAGAAGCTATTGCCCTTGCACTGGAGAAGAGCCCGCCATGTGTGGGACCTGTCATAAAGCTTCTTGAATTCTTGCTCACTAAAAATGTCCTAACAGCAAGAGATATTGGAACTGGTTGCCTTCTTTATGGCTCCTTGTTGGATGATATTGGCATTGATTTACCCAAAGCACCAAATAACTTCGGTGAGATTCTCGGGAACTTGGTTGTGGTCCAGGGTCTGGACTTCAAGGTCGTGAAGGAGCTTCTGGAGAAGGTGGAAGATAACAGGTTCAGGAAAGCCATCTTTGACTGTGCCATGAAAAGCATCAATTCAAACCCTTCAGGGCAGGAAGTGTTGGCAACACAGGGTTCTAATATTCAGGCATGTGAGAGTTTGGTCTCTTAATTAGGGCAGGGTGCACCTTAGCTTTAAATGGCAAGCTGTGCAGCTTTGTGGAGCATACGAAACCAAACCATTCTGCCCGTTTGCTTTCCAAAATTCACTTAAACTTTCCCGATTTTAAAGATTATCGCATATCAGAAGCAGACCAGGAAGAACAACAGATAATTTAATTGAGCTGTACATTTTCCATGGTTTTCCCATGATATTTGCTTGTTATGTTAAAAGCATAAAGCTTTTGTATTTCTCGAGTGCCTATTAAGTCTCCCCCGGGACATTCGAGATAAAAGAAAGACTTTTCACATTTTCCAGTTTCTTACATTAGATTTCAAGTCATGTAACACAGTTGAAAATTTTGATACTCGCCCATTTAAGGGGCCCAATTTTCTTCATAAATGATGTATTTTTTCTTGTCTTGTAGCTTAAATGAACACCTTATCCTTTGAGAATCTTTTGGTCCACAATTTTTTGCCTCACAAGTTGCCTGTCTGGCTTTTCTCCTTGCAAAATCCGTCAGTTAGATTGAAAGAAGTGAGTGAAAGGAGCAGTGAACAGGTTACAGGGGACCGGAGAAGCAAAACCTAGGAACCGCGGTAGATTGTTTTGTCAATTAAAAATGGCAGGCCTGGCCTACAACTGCGTCTTGCCCTCCCCTGAAATGCGAAAATGGAATGAGATTATCAAGAAACACGTGCTCAGTGGTGATGCAGTTCAAGCTATGGTAACGTATGTCAATGTGCAAGAAATTGGCTTTCATGCTGATAACTTCACTTTCCCTATTTTACTCAAAGCAGCAGGGAGGTGGTCTAGTCCTTGTATTGGGCTAGCCCTCCATGGCCAGACAATAAAAGCAGGTTTCTCCGGCCATGTTTTTGTCCAAACTGCTCTGCTGAACATGTACAGGTCTCATCGTTGCGTTGCTGATGCTTGTAAAGTGTTTGAGAAGATGCCTGTCAAAGATGTGGTTGCTTGGAATTCCATTTTAGATGCCTATGCTTCTACTGATCAGATGGATGATGCACTCAAAGTATTCAATTCCATGCCTTTAAAGGACCTCTTATCTTTCAATATCATGATTTCTGGGTACTCAAGCATTGGAAAGACACTGTCTGCGAGAAGTATCTTTGATAACATGGCAGATAAAGATATAGTCTCTTGGAACTCAATGATATCGGCATATATCCAAGGTGAAGATATGGAAAGAGCTTGTGATTTGTTTAGGGAAATGCCAGCGAAGAACATCATCACATGGAATACAATGGTAAAAGGGTTTTTACAAAATAAACTATATGGTGAGGTTCTTGATTTGTTTGACGAAATGAAGACTACAAATTGCTTGCCTGATCATCTTACAGTGACCGGTGTTTTATCTGCATGTGCCCATTCGGGATCGCTGAAAAAAGGAACCGAGGTACACATATATGCCATTGATAACGGACTTGCATCAAGTCCCCATGTAACAACAGCTTTGATTGATATGTATGCCAAATGTGGAAGCATACAGCAAGGTTTACGGGTTTTCTATAAGTCGCAAGTTAAGGATATTTACTGTTGGAATGCATTGATTTCCGGGCTTGCACTTCACGGCCATGGCTATGCTGCTCTCAATATATTCAACAAGATGAGAGAGAACCATACAAGGCCTGACGATATTACCTTCATAGGCTTGCTTAGTGCTTGTAGCCATTCAGGTTTAGTGCAAGAAGGTAGCCAATTGTTTTATAGTATGCAAAAGGAATTTGGAATATCTCCCAAAATAGAGCATTACGGATGCATGGTTGATCTTCTTAGTAGAGCAAGGCATCTTGATTGCGCGTTACAACTAATCAAAACTATGCCATTCAAGCCAGGAGAAGCCATCTTGGGTGCTTTGCTTAGTGCCTGTATACTTCATCAGGATCTTGAGGTTGGTGAGAGAGTTGTAAAGCTTGTTTCTTCCAGGGGTAACTACCTTAGCGATGGAGAGCTCATGATGTTCTCTAACTTGTATGCATCATGTGGTCAATGGGAAGAAGCGAACAAATGGAGAGAGATGATGAATGACACAGGCATTGTTAAAACAGCTGGATTCAGTGTGGTTGAAGTTAATGGGAAGTTTCATAAGTTCCTGGCTGGGTAAAAATCGGCTAAAATGTGAGTGGTGGTGCCAATTCTGAGAGACAGTTTCTTTACTACTTGCCCATTTAGCAACACAGTACACAGCGGTGCAAACTGCATTTCATCTAAAAAAACATAAAAAATAATGTTTTTGTTGCGGTGCACTGCATTGATAAACTATGCCTAATTGATCTTGGCCTTGTGTCAAGGAAAAACTTTGCCTTCTGCTAGTTGGAGGTGTGCCTACCACTAGCCCAAATAGTTAGGTGCAGTCCTATCATTGATACTCAGCGATCTCATGACTATGTTATTTTGTCCCAATTTTTCTAATAACACTGACAATTTTCTTATTATGATCTGGTCTTAGCTTATTCTTTCCCCATCAGCTACAAGAAATCTAAGCCTAACCCATAACCTGGTCCAAGACTCAGAGCCATGAATAGCACGAATTCTTTAAAAACGTTTTGAAATGATGTGATTCTGTAATTCCTTGAAAAAATCAAACCAGATCTCACCTAAGTTTTGATTAGATCATGAATTAACCTGTCAGGTTAACTCTACCCAACTTGAAAAAAAAAACTAAGCTCGATGAAGTTCTAAATCAAGAATCATCATGTTAACCTACTAGGCAAGACCAGGTTTTTCTTCGGCAAGGAACAGGAAATGCAAAAGCGGAACTCCTGTGACCTATCACTATGCAGAAGATGATGTCATCCTCCACATCTTTGTCATATACAAAATGAGACTAATAAAACCATGGAGCAATCACCTAAATCAAAGTTCCATTATCAAAAGGCACAAAGTAGGTGCTCACCCTACTACACAAGCAATACAATGAGGAGAGAGTACTCAAAACTATAGTACAGAAACAAACAGGTAGCTAACAAGCGATCTAATTTCCCACTTCAAAGTTTCCATTGGTTTATACAAGTCCGCATCTGGGATTACTTTTAACTTTCTGCAACAATTTAGCATTTGCAAGATCAAAATTTGGACTTTTCTAGAGCTGAGTTCGATTTTTCCCAACGTATGTGCAAAATTTTCAGCTCAAAATACCAAAGAGTCTGCCCCTGCCAAGATTTTACATATTGCTCTTTAGGGGGAGCTTCTCCTGCCATTGGGCTCGTAGGCCTGGCACCCATGGAAAACTCAACAACTGAACGGTTGGAGAATCTAAATGTTGCGTTTGGCCTGAAAACAGTGTGCTAACAAACTATGCTCTCCATATAAATAGCTTACGGACATTCGTTGAGATCAAAATTAATTTTCGTAATGCCCCTTTCGAATTCTCTTCTTAAAGGCCCTCTTGAGTAGAATCATGAACAATCCGAATTTGAACTTCTTCATAGTTCCTGCATCCTTGTTCTTAAAGATGACGTGCCTCAAGATGTGATCAAATCTGACAGCTTTTACTTCTTAACTTTGCCCCCTTTTTTTCCCATTTTTACTATACTTTCTACTCTTTGAACCTCTGTTCTTCTTATAAGAAATTTTGTCTGCCTTCTTCTGCCTCTTGTTCCGAACTTGTTCAAGATCCTTAATTTCTGAACGCCCATTAGCATTAGGCAGAGAGCCCTGGCTTTTGCTCCCTCTGGAGTTTCTATTATTCCCGCGTAATCGGCAGTCTCCTGCAACAAAATAAAGAAATAAGCATCTATTGCTATGTTTTTCTTCTCGATGTTTATACAGCAAATCACAAGAAGCTTTTCTTCTTATGCAATGAACTAATATCTACCGTCGAGAAACTGGAAAAGGCCATATTCCAAAAAGCAAATGCATTGATATTCTCCAGGGAACCATGTAAAGAAACCCTTCAACGTGTTTTAAACTTGTACATGAATATTAATTTCCATAAAACAAAACAGGACAATCCAAAATATTACGTGTAGTATCAGAAAAGAAAGTGATTTTGATCACCAAAATATATATTTTATATTGGAGAAGTACAGACCTTTTTTCTCAGGTAAGTTTTTTCGATAGCTAGGATATCTCAAATAAGTTTTACACAAGTACTTCCCAAGCCAAGTCCTGCTAACTAGTTTTGGAGAATCTTCTTACAAGTGACCACAAATTTCAAAGAGAAAACATCAAGGTTTGGATATTGATGGAAGCAAAAAAGCCAAACAAACAAACGTCGACAATCAATATTGAAAGCAAACCTTAAGTAAGAACAAAAATATATATATATATGAAACTTGAAATTAACAACTAAAAAAAATATATTTTTGATGCCAAGTATTATTACATTTAATAAATCAAGAACCTTAAATCGCATCAATCTTAGGGACATTATTTTTCACACGCATGAGTTGATTGAGTTAAACAACTCAAGTCTATATCAAACAATTTATTTTATAAGATTGAAAAACCTTAAAAAAATTACATAGACAGTTCAGTAATTAATTTATATTTTGTTACTGTAACCTTAATTAAAATGACATGTAATAAAATTATATTAAAATATTTTTTATATAAAATAATTTAAAAATTTTAAATTTAATAATAACTTACATAATTATTGTTACACAACTATTGTGTAAATCTTTCTATAAATATAAATAATTTTTTTATATAAAATTTTCATCTAGATGTTTAGTGTGTATATTTTATTATAATTATTTTCATATTAATTATAAGTATTATTTATATATCAGCTTATAAAAATAGTTGTTTTTTTTATTAAAAACAGAAACATAATATATACTAATATATATGACTCTAATAATTATTTAGTATTTAAAAGAATATTTTAAAGATAACATTTTGATGTAATATAAATATTAAAAATATATCAAATATTTATTAATAATAAATATATATTTATATAAATATAACAATACAACATATAATCAACCAATTTTCCACAATTATACTAAAATAACATTCACCTCGGCATCTTGAATCACAGCCTTAATCCTGGTGATGGTGTTGTCGAGCTTCTGTAATTAATTGATCCTTGAGCCCCCCACCATGGTGCAACCTCCTGAGCAGTTAGGGAACATAGCCTGTTTATTATTTCCTCCGTAATATCGAAGAGCACAACTTCAGCCATTATTTTTTCGTAAAGGGTATACTGTTGAAGCTACAGCAGAAATCCTTCAAGGGGGCTATTATTAATCGCAGGCAGCAGGAGCTAGGTAAGGGGCAAGTGGGAGAGGTGTAGGACACAATCTAGCCAGCCATTTATGACTTGATCAGCACAGATTGCGATAAAAGAGACAGGAATCATTAACATGGGAAGAGTTCAAGGTCACAGACCTCGAATGCCTGGGTTCGAAGTAACATGGTGTTTCTGGGCATTTTGAAAAGTCTGGCATGGAAACAAACAGTAGCTAGCCTATTTATTTTCTTAAAGCATTTTGTTTTTTAAAGTATTTTTTATTTAAAAATATATATAAATAATTTTTTTTATTTTTTGAAATTTATTTCTAATATCTATACATCAAATAATTCAAAAACATTAAAAAATATTAATATAAAATTTTTAAAAACACTATTAAATCATTAACAAAATTATTAAAAAAAACTAAAACAATACTATTATTTTAAATAAAAAAATAAATATTTTCAGGTTTAATAAGTCAACGAGTCAAGCTATAAACCAAATTAAAATGAAACTTGACATAAATTAGGTTTAGTAATTGAAATCTTTAACAATCTCCTCTTTGAGAAAAGCATGGACAAAATAAATGCACAACACAACCTTGGAGTTAATAAGCTTAACAAGCTGCTTGTTTTTACATTGAGACTATGTTTTTATGTATTTTAAAAGTATATTTGATTTAAAAAATATCTAATTAATATTTTTTAGTATTTTTTTTGAAGGTTTTAATATATTAATATAAAAATTTAAAAAACATTCTAATATATTTTTAAATAAAAAAATATTTTAAAAAGTATTTGACGATACAGTACGAAGATTAACAAGAATAAAATAAAATAAAATTGCAGAGAAAGTGACACTAGTGCCTTCTAAGGGCAGCAATCTAGCCAGTAGACTTCTCTTTTTTATTTGTTAATTACTTTATCACTACCTTTGTGCTTCAGCTTCCCCCCATAGCTTACTTACTACTTTATCCTTTCTTTACTCTCTTAAATTTGATGAAGATATCTTCCTAAACAGTTTAATGCTAAATCTTGCTTGGACTCGCTCCCAGATGAACTACTTACCAAGAAATCAAATCAACCTGTCAAAATGGTGCATAAATTTGATAAAAATGTTGAAAATAATTTGAGGGGTGCAAAAATCACCATGAACTCGCTCAATCACGAGAGAAGAAAGTTGACCCATTAACAGGTGAGAATATTCTTCGATGGGCCCATAGAGAAAAATGCGAAATCAGCTGATCAGAGATAAAAGTAATAAAATTTGCTGAACTTTTACAGAAAAAGAAAAAAGAAAAGAAAAGTCACAAAAATTCACACCACCATGATTGGCTGGCCCAAATCATGGACTTCTTCTTCGTCATAAGAGCCGAATTATTGACAATTTTCGTACCGTGATTCAAACCACCATGAAACGGCGGCCTGGTGCTGTCTCTTTTGACATGGACATGATTGTCTCTCACGAGATGCATAAAATGGACAGTCCAAGCTGGAATTGCTTTTCCACCTTGACAAGAGGCACCTTCCTTCTATTTTCCTATGTCCAATTCAACCCATGAAGGCAACTTTGCTTGGGTTTACGTTGAAAATTTAATTTGATTGATTGTCGGTATTTGATTTTCTTTTTAAATATGCTATGTAGATGTAAAAGTTTGGTTCTTAAACTCACGATAAAACGATGTATGGAGGGTTGCTAAATAGAAAATAATATTACAGGATTCTATTGAACATGCAACTTGGTAAATTCATGCTTCATGTCGTGAGATAAATTAATTTAGAATTGTCACGGATGGAGGGAGAGCATGCATCCCTTGCAAGATCTTCCCCACATGATTATGCAGATTGAGTTTGAATAATAAATGATAAATAATAACGCTAGATCTCTCGTAATCTTTATTGTTGAAATGGTTAAGGTATGATGCTGGCTCAATGATTCAAGAATCTTTGAAATAAATTACAAAATAAAATCCCTTCAATTGTTAGATTAATTAAAGTATAGATAATTAGATACCGTATCTCATCACTGCGCCTCTCTCTCCCTCCCTTGCTGACACAACATGAAGCCAAGACTTATAAAAAGAAGCAGTGCAAACTGTAAACAGTTAAACAATCTGAAATATTTGAGATATTTTTTTTAATAATATCTTTAATATTAACACATTAAAATCATCCCTCTCTCACAATCCCAAAAATTTGATCTTTGCATTGAAGTATACAGAGAGAGAAGTCAAGAGGGGGAGGAGAAAGGGTGACTAGATAGAAAAACAAAAGCATACCCCATCAGCGGTTATCTTCTTTCTCCATTCTCGCTCAAGAACTCAGAAAAAAACATCTTCCTCGACAAAGGCTTCACCTTTTTCTCTCCTTCTTATCAATTCCTTGTCTGTCTCTTTCATTCTGGAATTCCTATTGGTGTCACTTAAATTCTTGTGTTTTTTCCTCTGAGATTCTTCGAAACTTCCGATGGTTCTTTCTTAGTTTTGAAAAAGGGAGTTCATTTATAGATATTTTGGATTCCATTTCTGTTTCCCTTTTTCTCTTGGTCTGTTTCTTTGCTTTTGATCTCTTTCTCTCACAATCAGGTACATAGCAGTTTAAAGTTTTGAACTTTCTTGATTTCCCATGTAAATTTTTTTGCTGCCGTGTTGTGATATCTGAAAATGGTATCCGGGCCTTTCTGCCATGTTGTGTTGTTGATATCTTTTAATGTGATTGACCCCAAGAAAAGAGGAGTCTGGTTGTTTGCTATTTTTTAAATTAGGCTTCTTTTTATGAAAAGTTCATGTTTTTTAACTGCTGTGGTCCAAATTACTATCCGGGTATGCTGTATCTTTCTTTATTTTAGCATATCTCTAATGTTGCTATTTTCAATGTATATTTTGTTTTGTTCTGTTCTGTTCTGTTATATTCATTGATCTGAATCTTTTTTTATTCAGCTACTGCATTTCAAATTTGCTTTTGGATTTTTGTACTTGGCTTACTTGAGCTGATCTAGGATCTTTACTAGTAGTTGTTTTTACATGGACAATAATTATGGATTTAATTCTTTTTAAAGATTGGACATTTTTTGAGTGAAACCTAATTGCTTTTCATGCTGCTTGTTTGTTAATGGTTTGAATTTATTTTGATCAGTTAATGACTTAATCTTTGATCTGGTGCACTGTGATGAATTAGGAATAGAAACAAGTTTGACAATTATCTTAATCTGAAAGATTTTTTTGAAAAATGGCTTGATTTTTTCGGAGGGTTTTACTAGTTTTAAGCGTCACGAGCTAAATTTTCAGATTCTTGGTAACTGAAGAAAGCATTAAGGCTAGAATGAAGTGCATATAGGACCTTGTGGTTTACGTCGTAGTTTGCTTTTTTTGTTGGCTGGGGTTGTTGTGTCCAATTTTTTCTTGTGTTTTTACTTACTCGTCAATACTTGCTCTTTGATTTTGGATAGTGATGGGGATATACCTCAGTTCTCCAAAGACGGAGAAATTCTCAGAGGATGGCCAGAATGGTAGGCTTAGATATGGTTTATCATCTATGCAAGGTTGGCGTGCAACCATGGAAGATGCGGTGAGTCCAGCATTTGATCTATGTGAATATGCTAGGTTTTTAATTCTTGTTACCAACAACCATGATCCTTTAATTGCCCATTGATTAATACAACATATGAATATACTGGTGACATTATGTGGGGATGTCTTAAAGATTTTGTTATAGGATAGTACTAATGATAAATTTGGTTAGGCAGGAATTCACCCTACTGGAATGCAAATACAATATGTGACGTATTTTTTCAAAGTTTGAGGAAGTAACTAATTACAATTCTTAAAAAAAGTGTTGTGTTATCGGTTCTGTGGTGCCAAATTATATAGAATCCATTTAAATTTTCCTACCTTTTTTCCTGTAGAAGTGGGGAAAAAATATGATAATAAAAAAATGGAATTTCTTTAATGTTCTTGGAAATGTATCTAGAGAAAGTTTTGTGAAACAGTACTTGCTCCTCAATTCCAAAGGCATCTTCTGCAAAACAAACTCCTCTCTTCTCTAGTCATAGACTATATTCTCCTCCTCTACCTTTTCTATTTTTCTTGGCACCAATTCCACAGACATTTGATCATAGCCACAAAAACTCGTTTAGTATCGGCATATCATCTCATTTTTAAGGTGTCATTATTGCCCGTTTGTATTCCAAAATATTGTCATAGTGCTCTTCTCTTGCACTCTAGCCAACTTCATAGCATATATTATTACATGTGCTTTATAGTTGAATTTATATTTTTCATCATGGATATGATGTCAGTTACATGGTTATTATTATTTGTGCTGTAGCATGCTGCAATAACCGATTTGGATGCTACCACTTCATTCTTTGGTGTTTATGATGGCCATGGAGGTAAGAACTGCAAGTTTCAGGTACATGTGAATATGGTACATGATCATTGCTTAACTAAAATGTGCTTTTCCTGAATCTTCACCAAGTCCTATTTCATTGTTTTTTGGGTTGATTTCTGGTTATGCCCTTAAATGAACAAAATCAAAGTTGTATTAGCATTGTTCAATTCCAGTGAACAGAATATTAGTCTCTGTCCATTTTAAAATCTTAATATTATTTTGCTTATTCCTTTTTCAGAATTAAGTTTTTGTTTATTACTCATTTTAAGTTTGCAATCTGCTAATGATGATTGTGGGAAAAGAATCCATGTATCCAAGCTCAACTTGTTCAGACATGAGTGGAGTCTGGTTATTTGTGATGGAAATGTGCATCCAGTAAACAATGGCTTTGGGGGTTATGCAATAAAATTAGCTGCCAAAAAATTCCCGTTTTATTGTCAATGATGCTTATCTCATATGGGTGGTTTTTCAATTCTAAATGCGTCCTTGTATGCTCAGCTTGTACCTAGGTCAGTGTGTTAGTATAATTGACGTTTAGGTCATTGTCACTCATGTTAATCCAGTAACTTACAGGTAAAGTAGTTGCGAAATTCTGTGCCAAGTTTCTCCATCAGCAGGTTCTCAAGAATGAAGCATACGTTGCAGGAGATATAGGAACTTCTGTCCAGAAATCATTTTTCAGGTTACTTGATTTTGATTACTAGGGGTTTTTTCTTTCTCCCTCTTGAAGACTAATTTGAAGTGCACAGTAATGTGCGGATGTAACAAAGTTGCCACAGTGGTTTATTATGATCTGATGTTATTCTCCACCATCTATGCATGAGTTTTGAGCCTTAGTAATTGTAAACTAGTCATGTCAATAATATATCTTATTAGTATTATGATACAATTTTCTTAATGTTAGTTTCTTCTCTCTATTGCTTTATATTTTTTTGTGCTTGGAAAATTTGCCCCTTTGCATGGATGTTTGGTTATTTTAGGATTTATAGATCTGTAAATACCCTCTTTTTATTTAAAAGGATATTGCAAATAATCATAGACGCTTGCTCATGATTTCATTTTATGCATCTCATGCAGAATGGACGAGATGATGTGTGGCCAGAGAGGTTGGAGGGAATTGGCATCTTTGGGTGATAAAATAAACAAGTTTACTGGCATGATAGAAGGGTTGATATGGTCTCCAAGGTGTGGTGATAGCAATGAACAACTTGATGATTGGGCCTTTGAAGAGGTATTTTATACAAAAATGGAATACACTGCAGCTATTGCCTTGGTATAATAGTCTCCAACTATGTTAATTTAAGTTACGCTTCGAGGTTTGGTTCTTTGGATTATAGAGGTCAACACCCAAGTAGTGGTTGTTCCTGTGAAATCTGGAAGTTCAAACTCAAGTGCTACTCATGTGTTGTAGTTTATCCTTCTATTTGTGCTTAAGAGTTCATACTCAGAGTGGAATCAGTTGACAGAATTGGTAAATTTTTTTGAACATTCTTAGTTCTTTTTAAACCATAGGTTAATGATAATTCATTAAGAAACCAATTACCATTAGTCATTCCTTGGAAAATGATGGTTAAAGACCTGATATGTGAGTGGTTACAGCCGTCAGCATCAAAGTTCTTGAACACAGGGATCAGGATTCCCCGACTTGGCTGTATTTTCATTTTTAAATGCAGCAGTGTTGCACTCATTTTTCCCAGTTATTATCACAACACATACTGTGTGTGCATGCGTACACACTTTTGAATTCATTTGCTACAACTTGCTTCGAGACTGTATAATACACACTGTCGTTTATTTCCCTTTGATGCCCATATGCATTTGGTTTGTCAGCCAAGATGAATTTGAGAAAATGGTTGGATCATTATTACTTATGAATGAGTAGATAATTACCTCATGAGGTCTTCGTCCAAATATTTTGTTGATGATATGCAATTTATTAGACCATTAAATTATTCTTATGTTATTTAGCTATCTGGGGTTTTCTATTTTCAGGAAAAATAAAATAAAATGTGAATTTGTCTTTACTATCATGTTCTTCTACAACGTTAAAATTTTAACATTTATTCTGATCGGGATCTTAGGTTGCTTGCTCAGACTTGGTTGGAGTCCGAAGGTCATAATATTGATTAAAAATTTGCCTAGCCAATATCGTGTTTTAAACACATTGGCCACTAACCATGCATACTGTGACAATGTATCTTTTTGTATTGCTCTGTATCATTCAATAATAATGGTTAAGAACTCATTTTACTCTTTAACATGGTGATTAGGGTCCTCACTCTAACTTCTCTGGACCAACTTCTGGTTGCACAGCCTGTGTTGGGATTATTAGACACAATCAACTCATTGTTGCGAATGCTGGTGATTCTCGATGTGTGATATCTAGAAAGGGCCAGGTATTTTTCAGTTAACTAGAAATGATGGTTTGATTTTTTCCCTGAAGACTAAAGGTTGTTTGTAGGGGAGGGTTTATTGGAATTGTTAAAAAATCTTGTGACTTTACTTCTGCCTCAGCTAATCATCAATTCACCTTTTCTCTCAAGTATTAATGTGATGGGGACAGTATCCTGATAAATGGACATAAAGGTATATTGTTGATACGGACAAAACCTTGTATAAATTTTTCGATAAACATTGCTCTTTTTGATGCAGGCATACAATTTGTCTAGAGATCACAAACCTGATCTTGAGGCTGAGAAAGAAAGGATATTAAAAGCTGGTGGTTTCATACATGCAGGACGGGTCAATGGCAGTTTAAATCTTGCAAGGGCTATAGGTACCTAACATTCCTGATCTCAGTCCCTTATTCTGTGAGTGTGGCTTTTATACTCAATCTCTGGGCTTACTGCGGCTGGATTTCCTCATGAGAAGTGATTAGGTGATGAGCACAAGGCTAAAACTTTTTTGTTTTCCTTATTGAAAAGCAATGAGTATGCATTGCACTTACAAAAGCATGTTTGCACCCACCCATCCATGTGCACTCCCACTCCCACTCCCACTGACACCTATATCTTTGTATTCATGTCCATGCTAGTATTTGTTGATGCACACATATAAAATGGTATGCATCTTAATGAGTGTGCCCGCCCTCTTGCTTGCATTTATATGCGAGAGAGGTATCTTCTTTCAATTTTCATTTTTTCTTTTGTAATGCAGGTGATGTGGAATTCAAGCAGAATAAGTTTTTGCCTGTTGAAAAGCAAATCGTGACAGCCAATCCAGATATAAACATTGTATGCTATTCTTCTTTCTGCAATGTTTTCATTGAAACAATTTGCTGTTCTAGATAAACCCTGCTTATCATTCTTTTTGAAGTATGGTTTTATTTTTTTCCTCCCTCTTTGGATCTTATTCTATTCCTGCATCAGGTCGAGCTATGTGATGATGATGATTTTCTTGTGCTGGCATGTGACGGAATATGGTATGCGTCTAATGTTACCTTTTGTAGTCAGTACCTTAGAAGGTTGTTTTATGATGTGCTAATTCTCTTTCCAAAAGAAATAAAACATGCATGGATCTTGGTAATAAAATGCAATACCTAAAAAAACCATGAGGGCAGGCTTTGGTAGTTTAATTGAAGGAAACTCAATGGAACATATAGTTTAATTGAATTTCATGGCTGTTTGGAGTGTAGTTGTAGTTGCTTTTTAAAGTGTTTTTCACTCGGAAATATATTAAAATAATATTTTTTTTATTTTTTAAAAATTATTTTTGACAATAATGCATCAAAATGATCTAAAAATACCAAAAAATATTATTTTGAAGCAAAGAAAAAAATTTTTAATTTTTTTAAAAGCACTTTTGAAAAGTAACAACAAACATGGATTCAGGTTTGTAGATGATTGGCGCTTGTTCATTGTACTTCCATGACTTGGAAGATAACACTTCTTTAACAACCCTAAAGTTTCAAAAATTGTCATAGACTGCATTTGAATCTTTTGTTCACTTTGCATGAATCCGTAGATCACATGGATAGGCCTGGGAACTCTGCTGATAATCAAATTTTATTCATTTTGTAGAACTATTGGTAGCAACTTCATGAATAAGTAATTCCAAGCGGATAATTGGTCACTTTTCTTGTTTCAGGGATTGCATGTCAAGCCAGCAACTAGTAGATTTTATTCATGAACAACTTCAAGTGGTATGTGGTTTTGGACCCTTCTTACATTTGACGAGCATGGTTTTGAAGTATTTGGTTTTAACTGTTTTATTCATCTCCCCATTTGTGTCATTCTGAAGTTAGACCTTGCTGAACTATTTGGGTACAGAGCTTATGTGATATATAGGCATCGGTATCAATCTAACATTCACTCGGAGGAAAAAATGAAAAAAAAAAAAGATCTTGTTGATTCTAGTCAATTTTACTCTCTGAATTATGATCTTCGATCTACATTTGCTAAGTTATATGTGTCAAAAAGTCTAATGGAAACTTCAATAATGCAGGAAAACAAGCTCTCTGCAGTGTGTGAGAGAGTCCTTGATAGGTGTTTGGCGCCATCAACAATAGGTGGTGAGGGATGTGACAATATGACCATAATTGTGGTACAGTTTAAGAAACCTATCGGGTCCAATGCCTCCGCAGACGAGCAATCGTCACAATCCGAACCTGCTGTTGCTGAATCTAAACCAGTGGAAAGTTAACTGAAGTACGATCCATAGCCTCCTTGCGATGTCCCAAATGCTATTTTCCAGCCTCTGGATGGAAAAACAGTACAAGGGTCCTGCTTTTTCTCGAGAAGCCAGGTCCTTGGATACATATTTGTAGATGGTTTAACATGGATGGATGAAACATTAAGAACAATCGTTTGATGTTCTGATGCGTGCTTATAAAACCGACGTGTTCTTAAGTTTTAAGTTTAGATGTAACATCTAATGCTGGGGTTGTGATAAGATCTAGGTGGGATTGACCTTTATAATTTTTTTAAAGGATATATATATATATATATATATATAAATATATGTAGATGAGAGCGAGTTTTGACAATATCAACTAGGTTTTTTCCTTCTATTTTATTTTTTAACAGGCCACAAGTCATTCAGGTTTTCAGTATAGGTTTTATTGTCATCTCGAGAAAAGATATATATACCTTTTATTGTCGAAAAAAGAAAGAAAGAAATTTCTATTTACAGATAGCAACAAGTCTGCTATTTTACGTTTATTCTGGTGACTGCTAATGCCCTGAACCATCTCCTTGCAGTACTCTGATTCTGCACCAAAAACCACGCCTCTAAAGTTATAGCTACAATTACAAACTTAATTTAGAATTTATTACGGCAAGAAATTCCTACACACTTGGTGTTTATTGCAAGAAACTATCTAAAAAGGTACATTAAAGATAATCTTAGCTATATTTATGTTAATATAATCTGCAAGATGTAATAAAATATGGTTATGATTTTAGAATCTATATTTTCCATATTCTAGAAACATCTAAATATAAATTCAAAGTCTAGTCTTAGTTATTGCCTAAGTAGTCTGTGCTGAGGACATGAAGATGCCAACTTCTGTTTTGTCTGTGGTCTCATTGGGAATTTTCTTGGTGTCGGTTTCTTCTCATGAAGGTATGTTCAAATCTAAAATCTATGTAGGTTGACAAGTAATCCACTTTGTTCTTTATGATTTTAAAGGTTTAATCAGGTGGTTAAGTGGATTTGCTCTTTGTTATCATCTAGGGTTTAAATCATGAGAGAGATTATAACACACAGATTTCTCTTGAATCTCTAATTATGTATTTTATTTAATTTTTCATTTAGTATATAATAAGGCTCTTCGAGTAATTTATATATTCATCATTACTTGTCAATATCCAACTATGGAAAGGTTCCTTAAAATTATGTTTAATTAGTGTTTCATGATAAAAGAAATAAATATGGATGTAAACATGTTTGGCTAGAGTAATACAAATAGAAGCATAAAATAAATTTTTATTTATAATAATTTTAAAGTGAATTTACTTCTTTTCAAAATAAAAAGGATATGTGGATATTTACCATCCTTACTTTTTATTTATGTTATCTTCATTTCAATATTCTTGAAATAATAACTAAACGCTACTTAAATACCTTACCTATTAAAAAAAAAATTGTATTTATTGATGCCATTAACATTTTTTTTTATCACATCGAGTTCCAACTTTAAAAAAAAATAATAAAAAAAACACCTTTTTTTTAATCACTCATTTTATTAAGTGATTTTGGTGCAGGCACACAAGATGAACACAATTTAGTTCAGGAAACACCCTCAGGACTTCTCAACAATGGTAATGAAGCAAAAAATTTGCATTTTTTATATTTTCTCTTAGGTAGAAGCAAGCCCTGATCTCAAAATTGTCTATATTTGCAGGGACAGGAAGGGCTAGGCAGTCCAAATGCTCACATAGAGATATTGTGATTGCACAAGCCCAGGTTCAATCCCAACCAAGTGGTTTACCTACTTTCTTGGTGGAAATTACCAATACAAATACAAAGGTGCAAGTTTCTAACATCCATTTCTATTGTGAGCAATTCAGCTCTGCAATCGTCATCAGACCTGATGTATTCAAGCGCATTGCTGTCAATGACTCGCTCGTCAATGGGGGCAAAACACTCGCTCCCGGCTTAACCCTATCCTTCACATATGCTTACAGTTTCAAATACCCTCTTTCAGTTAACACCATTAAATGCTGAAGCATATGTAGACATCCTAGTTTCAAGATGTGTCAGAAACTGATGATAATGGATTGCCATTGTTATCGGTTTTTGACAGAGAAGATGGCAGCATTGCTTCATTACTAGCCTCGGTTGTACTGTCATTAGTCCCCAGGTCGTTGTCGTCATCTTCGTCGTCATCTACATGTTGAGATTGTGTCATTTGGTAGTTTTCTCTTAAAATCAATCAGGTCTTCGTTCCAAGAGGAAGTCCTGGTGGTTAAAATTGAAACATGGGGGAGGGATATGTCCATTATGTAATCTAAGTCCCCTGTTGAACACTTGAACCTTCGGATTAAAAAGAAAAGGAGGGTCAATTAGAAGTCCCATGGGAAAGATTTTCCGGTCGATGCACAGAAACACAAGCAGTTGCTCCTTATTTAGAATTTAGAATGTTCCTTATTTAGAATTTAGAATGTGTTTGGTAATATAGCAGCTGCTTATTTTTATTTAGAATGTATTTGGTATTGTGATAATTGTTATAATTGTAATTTTAAAAAAATTATTTTATAAAAAATATTTTTAGTTGAGGTTGATTTAAAAAAATATATGTTTGGTTAAAACTGTAGTTAAAATTAAGATTGAACAAAAATTAATTTAATATGTTTAGTTAAAAAAATGTTTTTCAAATTGAGGTTATAAAATAATTAATATATATTAATGGTTTTTAATTTAAATATTATAGATTTAATTACTGTTATTATATCATGAAATAAATAATATTGATATCAAATATTTTTTTATTATTCCATTAAACTATGTGCAATTTCATCACGTATAAAATTTATCCAATAAGGACTATATTTTCTATGATTTCTTAAATGCGCAACAACAAAAACTAAATTTTTTGTTACGTTATCAAACGATCTCCTTCTAATTTTTTGAATAAAACATAATCATAAATAAAAATAAAATTTGAATTTTTTTTAATTGAATCGGACCCGGAAAAAACATAATTGAGCTTGTGATCAAATTTTCTAAATACTACATTATCAAGTGATCTTCTTTTAATTTATATAATGTTATTAAATAATATTAAACACTAGTTTTTAGAATAAAATATAATTTTAAAAAAATAATTTTTTTTAATACAAGTAGTTCTTCAACTGGCACTGTTCACATAAACAATGCCTCACGTCCAAGTAAATTATATTTATCTAGACATTTTATGTAGAGAGTAAAAATATATAAAGATCTCACATGAAAAGCAATTAAAATTTTATATTACCAAACTTCATGTTTACACAATCAACCACCACGTAAACAAACACCCACTTAGCAGCATCCTTACTACCGCGCTTTTCTTGCTGCGATGCTGAAATAACGTAGGTACTGGTTATATCCTTCAAATAATGAAACTCCAGACTTGCAGCAATAATACAAACACCAGACACTACTATGGATATAGCAAAGAAACAAGTTGGCGGATACATACATTTTTTGAGTTTCATAATTGTTGATGGTGTCAAGGAATGTGTGTGTATGTGAATAATTGTTGGTGGTGTCTAGGAATGAGTCTATAATGAAATTCTAAATCTAGAAGTGCTATTAGGTTAATGCAACCAAGACATGGCAACACAGGCAGTGGTCAGAGAAGACAGTGGAGGCAGAGGAAGAGAAACACAAGGTGAGAATGTGAAGGAGGCAGTGAAACTACTCAACCGATTATCTGCCAATAAAATGTGCAACAAAGGGAGTAACTACGGGAAAAAACATTATTCTGGGATGTTATTGAAACACAACCTTATGGGACTCATAATTTAGAGAGGGAAGAAATTATCATCTACTGAGTCCATATTCAAGGCTTGTAGGAAGGAAAGAACCACCACAGGCACAAATATTGTGAAACTTGAAAACAAAGAAGTATAACAGCCACAGTAAACTTTACTATAACGATGTAAAAAGTGCATCAAAACTGCTCTTCACAATTTACAATATCAAAAATTGAAAAGATAAATCGAAAGACTATCCTGATGAATATACTAATAATTCTCTAGCCAGTCAATAACTACAAGACGTTAGACGTTCAAAGTCACCTGATCTTGCAATAAAATTCTCTTCTTCCCTACGCTTTTGCCTTTGATTAAGCCGTTCTTAGGTGTTATTCACTCAATGGCTTCCCAACAAACTTCCCTTGATATGGCATAGATGAATATTTCCCAGGAACTAGATCTTCTACAGGTGAAGATATCTTAGGAACAAGATCTTCCATGCATGGATCTTTCTCTGGAACAAGACTTTGCACCAGGTTACCTGATTGCATCTTCATAAAAAATTTGTGCCGCTGTCTTAAAAATCTAAAAATCAAGAACAAAAAAGATCAATCCAGGAATGAATTATACCATTCTAGCATTTTATGAAGCTCTGGTGATCCATACAATTCAAGTATACAAAGAACATACCTAACTTCAGCCGAAAGAATCTCTCTTTTCTGCTCTACTGTTCGCAATTTTCTCTTCTTTGAAACAAAATCCTAAACAAAAATCAGCACAAAACTATCATCAGAATGACCTATTATGCATCATCTTAAGCAATTTCAATTTTTCAATTCTTTTTATTACAAGACCCCAGAACTAAGCAGCCAACTGTCAGTTGAAGGGTTACACAACTATGTAACTTAATTGGGGTGGACCTTTTGCCTCAAACTTGAGAACCAAAACATAGAACAAATTATTCAAAATCCATTGTTTTTCCTCGTCAAAAATTGAAATCAAAGCATGATTTTCTAAATAAAAATCCTCAACAAAACCATCAAGAACATTAACAAAGGCACGTATCCATAAATACATGAAAATTGAAAAACAAGATTCTCAAATTAAAATATAACACAAAAATAATTCAATTAAAAGAGAAAAAATCTGACCTTTTGCAATTCCAAGAAATCCTCCAGTAGGTTTTGATATTTCACTCTATTTATTGCTCCCTCGTCAACAAATTGAGATTGATGAGATTTCACAGCAACCCTTTTCTTATTATTCTTCGACATTGTGTATCTCCACTATAATTCTTGCAGTTAAGCCAAAAAAAATTGACAAGAAGGTATAGAAAAGCAAAATTTGGTGAGAATTAATGAAACCCTTTAGATTTCTTAACCCAAAATTCAATAAAAACTCTTTAATAAAGCATAACAAGAAATAAATCCGGTTGAAATAAGGATATTATTTTTTAAAATTCTCTTTTTATAAAGAAAAAAAAATATAAAGACACAAACTTGATGAAAACCGCTAAAAAAAATCACTAAAACTTGGTGATTAAGCAAAGAAAACAAAACCCCAATTCAACTTAAACAAGAAAACAGCCGTTTTCGCATCCTACATAGAGAAACATATAAAGGGCAAAGATTTAGAGAGAGAGAAGCAAAAACAATATAAAAAGAACAAAGAAAATCACTCCAACAAGGACAAAGCCAGCCAGTCATGTAAATTGTGTTCTGCTTCTGGGAAACTCCTATACTTGAGAAACCAAAAAAGCCCATGTAGGAAAGAAGAAACTCTTAAACATGAGCTATGAAAATGGGGTTCAAGAAAGGGCATTTATGGAAAAAGATACAATCTTTTTTTCATTTTGGATGTTTTGGAGACAGAATTCGAGAGGTGTGATTGGATGACAATTCTTTGCTTCCATTTTTTACCTTAAAAATATATTTTGTTTTTGTGTAGGAATTTTGGTCCAGCTGGGCCATTTTAGAGGTGATAGAGAGGTGGAGGATGTGGTCATTGTAGTCTTGGAGGATTCTTCTGGGCATGGTAGAGAGTGTGTGTGCAGACAGGTGATCAATGGCTACTGTTTTGCTACACGGAGGATCTTGGAATGGTTCTGCTTGACATGGCCAGGACAATGACTTAAATTACCAAATCGCCCTTATCCAATTTTTAGAGTGAGTGTGTGTGTGTAATAAATTATTTTGACAAACCTAAAAAATGTTTCCTTTTCCCCAATATTTTTTATATCAATCTTCTCCTTCAAGTTTCAAAGATTTTCAATTAAGTATTTTTTTATATTTGATTGTAGTTTGCATCTTAATTATTATTATTTTTTAAATGATGTAATGTTTTTAGAAATAACATTTTTTATTAAGGAATTCTCATAAGAGGTTCTAATTAAGGAATTAAAATCTTTTAAGGATAAAATTGATATAAAAATTTATTTGGAGTAAAATTAATATTAACATAAAAAGGTGGTACTTTTAAAGTTTGCCCATAAAAGTTTTGGGTGAAGTTCATTTTGGGACATGAAGAATGTATTTAGATGCAACTCAAAGGTAAAGGATAGAATTTCAATAATGATTCTCTTTGTGGGTTTTGGTTTAAATGAATCAGTTGCTTTATATAGCAAGGTTATTATACGCGGTATGACTCATTATCTGATTTAAGAATTGAGTTTAGTAAATTAATCTAATTAAAAATATATTATTTTATTAAAAAAAAAGTAAAATAATTTTAATTAAAACAATTAAGTTTGATGAAGTTAATTCTTATCTAGTTTAATTTAAAACTTGGCAAAAAAAAAAAAAAATCTCCAGCTGACCAGTCTATTAAACAACATTTTTGGTGGAAATCACAAGCACAGATGTACAAGTGTCCATCTCAGCCGTGGTGAATTCTCTGAGATCCTTGTTAACCCATAACCCTGAGATATTCAAGAGCATTTCGTCGGTGAGTGTCGCTGGTGCAGCACACTGCTTCAAATATGTCAACACCAAGCAGTACTCTCTTTCGATTTTCTCCTTTACATGTTAAATCATCAGTAGACTAAATAATTTTATTTATTTTCAGCATTGTTGTTAAGTAGTCTCTTCTCTTCAACTCCTATAATTGTTCTATTTGACTTGTACAAGCACAAAAAGACATCCTGCAATAGCTAAACACTAGGGATAGATAATAATCTTCACCAACCATGATCGATACTGGAGCGAGTAATCTCTTCCTTCGTATTCAAGAAAGAGTCTTTCTAGTTTGTATTGTCGAGTAGTTGATCCAGAAAAAAAATATCATTAAGTACATTGCCTATTTATGCATATTTTTCATTCGAAATGAGGCATGTCAAGATACAGAAAAGCTTACAAAAATTTCTTGTATGCTGAATGGCGGGTACAACTACAAACAGCTCGTTGATACAAGCATACCATGCCATTTACCAAATAAAATCAGTGTACTATGTATTTCAAGATTTTACATAATGCATCGTTGTAGGGGTTAAATATTCACAGTTTTCATGGACAACAGATTAGATGGCCTTGAACGCACCTGGGTTGCAACCTGAATATATAATCGTGTACTCTTGATCTCTCTGCAAAAAGAAAACTTCACTGAATCTGCAATGAAGGATGGCTAAGGTAAATTTGGAATGCCCAGCCTTGCACATATGCTACTCAGCATGCACAAAATCTTGAGATAAATTTAAGCGCTTATCACCATCAGCAAAACCATCAAGTCAGGCTAAAGTTCCCTGCAGAAAACAAAGTTGGAACTTGTTTAGTATAAAGGAAGCATTCGTTAACACTTCAACTATGAGTTTTGGAGTCAAAATTGTAGAGATCCTTCAGAAAAGAACCAAAATTTTTAGATTTGGGATATTCATGAATTAGTTTAGATGGAAGTAATACCCAGTAAAACTTGAGTGGAAAGATAAACAGCCAAGAGAATACATGACCAGTTGAGCATCTTTGAAGGGTCAGGATTGATTAGGAAGCTGAGCAAAAGTTCCAGTATTGGGGTCGCAACCACCAACCATCATCTTCTTGTAGATGCCATAGGCAAGTTCAGAATTTCCAGAGAGGGTGTATCCACGAATAAGAGCATTATAGGTGAACACATTAGGTTTAAGACCTATAAATTGCAGTTCTTCATATATCTTCCCTGCTTCCTCTATCATTCCAACAATCCCAAGATTGAGTATCAAGGAATTGTAAGTGTAAAGATCAGGAACGATCCCTCTATTCTGCATTTCATGAAAAAGAGATAGAGCTTCTTCTGTCCTTTGTGATCGTCCAAGCCCATTAATCATGAGGTTATAAGCTACCAAGTCTGGATCTAGGCCTGCCTGCTTTAATTTCTCAAAGTAGTGCAAAGCATCGTCCACTCTCCCTGCTATGCATAGGATATCAACAAGAATGGTGTAAGACTTCAAGTCTGGTCTTATTCCTTCTTTGACCATCCTTTTAAAGAACTCGCAAGCAGTATCCACGTAACCCAATTTCCCAAAACCATTTACAAGAATATTGTAAATAGCACTGTTAGGCCTGCATCCATAGTGTACCATCCCGTCAAACATTTCATGTGCATCATCAAGTCTCCCTGCCTTCAGAAGTCCATCTATAAGGGGGCCAAAGGTACAGGGAGTGGGAGAGAAATCACCACTGACAAGATTGTAATACAAATCCATAGCCTTGTCCAATCTATTAGATTTCACTAGATTGGAGATGACCATGTTGTAAGTTATGGTGTTGGGCTTGCATCCCCTAGCTAGCATTTCATCATACAGATCAAAAAGTTCATTGATCTTCCCAGACTTCCCATGAGCATCAATTAAAGAATTGTAGGTGAATGTATCTGGAGCACAGCCAGCACTCTTCATCTCCTCAAAAAGATTCCAGGCCGCTTCAACATTATGAACTTCTAGAAACCCATCAATCAACAGGTTGTATACTTTGAGTGTTGGTTTCACTCCCAGTTCCTTTGTGAACTTCACAAATACATTTTGAGCAACAGAGGTTTTCTTATGCTTACACAAAACCTTAATTATAGGTAATAATACAGAGTCATCCTTGCAAATTGCACGGCATACCAATCTTTCACCAAATAAAATGGCCTTTTCTGTTCCAGCCTCAGTCAAAATGCCTCCCATAACATCTTCCCAAAATGGCCTGTCTATGTTAGATCCAACCTGATAAAAAAAGTCCTCAGTGATCCTGAAAGCATCCTCTATCTGCCCGCTCTTTATAACACCAGGAAGGAGCGTGCACAAAGTCACATGATCAGGTCTGAGCAATTTCTTCATCTGATGGAAGAGCCAGATTGCATTTTTAATTTGGTTTTGTTTAATAAAACCATGAATGATTGTGTTGAAAGTTAGAACATCAGGTCTGCAATTCATTGTTGTCATTTTGTAGAACATTTTCAGGGCCAAATCAACCTCATCATTCTTGCAAAGGCAATCCAAGAGTGTATTGAAAGTAATTGTGTTTGGTGAACACCCATGCCCCTTCATACTCTCAAATAGCTGAACAGCTTTTTGGATTTGACCCTCTTTCCCAAACCCAGCCAGTAATATGTTGTAGGTCACAACTGTAGGAGCAAGGTTCATCTCCTCCCCTAATCCAGCTAGTAATATGTTGTAGGTCACAACTGTAGGAGCAAGGTTCATCTCCTCCATTCGGCAAAACATTTGCCATGCCTCTTCCACTCGGCCAGCCTTGTAAAGTGTGTCAATCAAAGAATTAATGACGATTACATCGGGTTCACACTGAACTTTTGACATCTCAGATAGTAACTTGATGGCTTCATCCACTTGCCCTACCTTACTATAGCATTTCATCATCATGTTATAGGTCACTGAATCTGGAGCAAGCCCACTACTTTTAAGCTCGTTAAACATAGCTTTTGCTTCACCAAGCCTTCCCATTTCAGCAAGACTATACAAAGATGCATTGCAAGCAACAATGTTAGGAGCAATTCCTCTAGCTTTCATCTTCTCAAAGGTCTCGAGAGCTTTTCCAGGGTGACCAGACTTTCCATGGTAGTCAATTAAAAGGATATATGTATAAGCAGTGGGTTCAACACCCAGAGATTCCATATTACTGAAAAGATCCAACGCATCATCTAACCTGTTTGCCCTCAAAAGTCCACAAATCAATGTGTTGTAAGTATGGAGATTTGGTAAGACCCCTTGCTTTCTCATGGTATCCAACAGATCAAAGGCTTCATTAATTCTACCAGCTTTGCATAAGGCATTAACAAGTATGGTAAATGTAACCACATCAGGAGCATAACCATCAGCTTCCATTTCAGTCCAAATTTTTTCCACTTTGTCCAAGTGTCCACAATCACTGAACTTGTCCAACAAGGTTACATAGGTTACCTTATCAGGTTTGTGACTGCTAGATTTCATTTTCGTGAACAAGCACATAGCGTCGTCAAGCTTTCTGGCAGTACAAAGAGCATCAATGAGAACTGTGTAAGTGACAACATCAGGACCGCATCCATCATCATCCATTCTCTTCATAATCCTATATGCTTCGTCAATTTTCCCATCTCTCCCCAGTATTCTAATGCAAATGGTGTATGTGTAAATATTAGGCCTCAACCCCATACTCTCCATCTCTTCCAGCAAACCCATAACAGTTTTAATATTCCTTCTCTTCCCTGATGCTACCATAAGTGCAGAGAACGTCTTAAGACTAGGCTTAAGACCTTCCGAGACCATTCTTCTATACACTTCCAACGCCTCCTTACAAAATCCAGACTGAAGTAGAAAGTGGATCAACCCATTATATGAATAAGCATTCAAAACAAACCCTGCCTCCCTCATCTTTTCAAGGGCAGACGGTGCTTGCCTCAGGCCACCCCTGATAAAAAGACTCTTAAATATAATCAAATAAGTATCCACATTCCTCCTAATTATTTGCCTTTGCATCAAGTCAAACACAAAAGCCATATCCTCCACCCTCCTATGAACCCTCAATATTTCAAGCATATGATTACAGGTTTCAGTGGTGTGAACAACATTTGGCAACTCACCAACTGATTTAAAGTAAAAAAGAGCATGAATAGGGTCTGAAATTGAGTGAAGAACTCCCAAAACTTCATCAGAAGATGACCCCTTTCTTGGCTTCCCATTCACCACCAGGTCCTCATTCTGGCTTTTCAATGCAATTCCACAAAAAGCCACTTGTTTTTTGTTATTTTTCTTCCAATTTACGTTAGACCCGAACGGGAAAACCCTCAAAGTTCCAAACTTTTCACCTCCTAATGACCCATTTTTATGTCTGAAATCAGACAACCTATTCTGCTCACTAAAAACAATACTATAATGGATACAACTACAACACATACTTGAAGAGCTAAGTATTAACACAGCCATGGAAGAAAGCTATAAGAGACAAAAGACTAAGCATAAGAGTGACAATCTCAAGAGATTAAAAAAAAAATGGGTTCAGTTTTGCATGATAGTTTCTTGTTGAATTGATAGTGAGAGAGTTAAAACGAAACAAGTTTAGAGAGATACAAAAATGAAGCTTAAGACTCACCAGGCAGGTCTGGTCCTAGATGATGATATTGGCTATGGTGGAGATTGGCTTGGCTTGTTTGGATATTTGAATTTGAGGGGTTATGTGGTGAACAGAGACTACATGATTGCAGAGTAAGATATCTGTGGTCATTGATTCTGTTCTTTGAGATATTCTTTTGGAATTTGTGGTGCATTCATTTGCTTCTTTTTCAACTAAAGGTATTAAAGCTTTGTGCATTAAATATATAATTGCTAGAACTATAAGGGTTAATGAGTTAATTGTATTACAATATAGGGACTAAATGGATAGTTTACTCCCAAAACCTAGACAGAAGTAAAACTATCCTGTAAAAAGGCAGTGACGTGTGAATTACCAAACACGAACAAAATCATCACTTTAACCTTAACTGCCGCCATAAACCGCTCCCTGTGCACCTCAGAAGCCCTAGACACCAACTCGCCAAAAACACCAACACAGCATTAGCCTCAAAAATCCTCTCAAAATCCTTACCAAAAGAGACACAGAGGAATCTTTGTAAGAAAAGTTGCTGTCCTTCTTGTCTAAGAAGCTAAAATGGAAAGCAGCAGCAGCAATAGCGATGTAGTGCCAGAATCAGCCATGGAAGCAGTGGAAAGAACCTTAGCAAATGTAAAACAAGTAGAGACCCATTTGCTTGAATTCTTGTCTCTTGCTAACCCTGATGTCCTTGATGAAATGCCACCTCTTCAAAGGGCTCAATCTCTCTTTATGCTTGCTAAGGCCACTTCTACTCTCTTTGCATGTATGTATAAGCAGTATATCAAGACCATTTTTTTACCAATAATTTAGTCTTATTGATGTTGTTTTTGGTGATTTTTATTTGTTTTTTTTTTTAATTTTGTGATTTTTTTCAGTGAGATTGAGAACTACTGGAATTCACCCAGATGAACATCCTATCAAGACAGAGCTTGTATGTGTTCTTGCACCATATTATTTTTCCTTAGATTTTTTTAATTTCGGCATCTGGGTGGTTTGGTTTTGATGTTTAGTTTGATGTGTCCTGTGTATTTTACTTGGTTTTTGGATTAGGGTGGGGTACTGTATGATGCGTCTGAATTATGAGGTTAAAATCAACGGTTTTTATGGTTAATGTTTTATGCAGTTTTTTGTTTTTTCTCCTTCAATGTGTTGGTTTATTAATGTATGTCTTGAAGATAATGTTCATGAGCTTTACCTTACATGTGCAATTTGGTGGTTTGTAATTTGCAGGAGAGATTGAACTTGTATCAAGACAAACTAGAGCAGTTTGTAGATATAAGTAAAGGTACTTCTTTTGCCTTCTGTTGTTGATGCATGCAAATCTCAAACTGTCATTGCTAGGGAAGGACGAGGAAAATAAACTTGACATATATGGAAAGTTGTTGCCGTGTTCAAGTTTTTAAACTGCGACAAGCTTGGTTATATGGAAAGTCGTTGCCATGTCTAAATTCCTAAACTACACCAAGCTTGGTTAGATGGAAAGCCGTTGCCTTGTTTAAAATTGTATTCTGCAATGAGCTTGCTTATGCTAGTCATTTCACATCTCTTATTAATTAATCAAATTTGAATTTGTTCTTGAAGAACCATTGCACCGTTCTACTACTTTAAATTACCAGGCTGCAACCCGTTTCATTGAGCATTCACTGCCTGACCTTACCCCCGGTAAGTCATCCATCACTTTTTTTGTCATTGGCATTTTTCTTTCCTTTGTGATCTCATATTTTCTTAAAATAAATATTGCTGTTTGCAGAACAGCGGAAAAGCATGAGGAATATCAGTAAAGGAGAAGGGCCCAAGATTAAGTATACAGAGAGGAGCACCCACAAGAAGAGAAAATGCGATACATCTGAAAAACAATCAGTACAAGCTGCTGCCCAAGAGTTTCTTGAAAAAGCTGCACGCGAGCTTTTTGGGGGCAACACAGATGGTTTCAAGGGACCTCTTATAAAAACTGATTCATCATCTGAAGATAAACTGGCTGTGGATTGATTTTCTAATATATCCTGGTACATCATAAGATCATGTATATCCATAAAATAGTTCCTTTTTATCTAAAAAGTTTCGTTTGTTTTTTGCTTATTCTATTATTTGACCATACTGTTGTGGAAAAAGTATGGAATTTTTTCACTTTCTAGTTGTTGATGCTGGTATATGTGGGGTATCTTATTTGAACTCAATTCTATGGTCGTCTTAATTTTCCTTTGAATCTTTTTAGGCCACCTTTTTGCTTGATATAACTAGATAACCTTGTTTGGTTTAATTAACAAAATAGTACCCGAGGACATTTGAGTATGTTGAAATACAAATACTTTTATCTCCAACAATGTTGAATATTTATTATCTTAAATTTGGAAACATGCTGCATAATCTGTAACAGTAGAAAAGGAAACAGAGAGTGAATTTTGAGTATAGAGATAAAATCTTAACATGCTAATATGTTATTTTGAAGTCTTTCAAAACTTATAAATTTATAGGGTTTATATGAAAAGCAATGGACAAGTTGGATGTGGGATGTACAGTTGTTTGGCATGTGCAGCCAATGAAGGAAAAGCTTTGTAACTCTGGTTTAAGTATCTAAAATCTAATTAAGATAATTGCAAAGAGCTATAGATGTGAATGCTGAATGAAGTTGCACAAAGATGCATGCATCCCAATATTTCTGTTAGTCTTTCTTCTTTTTAACTCCTTTAAATCTGCAGTTTAATATACCGAAATCAACTTTCCTTTAGTAAGCTTTTGAACTTCATGAGTTCCCAGTTCTTGTACTGTTTGAATCTCATATCCCCCCTTTCTTACCTCACAGGATTTCATAGACGAGGTCTGCCAGTGTTTGCATCAACTGGCCTATTTTTGTGAATGAATTCGTATTGTCAACAGTGTATCATGTCAATGGGTATCCTAGAGCATCACTAGACCCTCCCAGAGCATTAACAATTTTGTTCCCTTATCCACCGTGGTGAAGAAAAAGCACAATACTGTAAGTAATAAACAGCTGCGCTTAGCCAACTTTTCTCGCGCGTTGTAATTTGGATTGGGAAGGACAGCTTTTAAATTTAGGGAGAGAGGTGATGTGGTTGTGAAGACTTTTAAACATGGTATCTAGGTCTTCCAAGTTAACTTGAATAATCAACAATTTTAGACTCCTAACATATGGATGGAGGGCATGAAGCATGTGATTTTTTATTACCACCTTGCGTTTAGTTAGTTCTTCTTTTATATATATATATATATGTATATATAAAAGACAAAAAGTGTTGTTGAAAGGATAAAAATAGAGACAATGTCCTCTCATCTGATTTTGTCTTTTGTATCTCAAGACTAACGAAAGGCAATTGTGCTAGTATCACTGAAAAACACAGAATAAGGTATTTCGTGTCTGTTGTTGATCAGGCGACACCTTGATTTGAACAGGGGAAAAAGGATTTGCAGTCCCCGCCTTACCACAGATAAGAAATAGATGAAAATACCTCCCTTTTTTGTCTTACTGAACTCTTTTTTTAGTACTTGTATCTTGAATCATATTTTTCTTAATTATATGGATGCATATTTACCATTTGCAACAAGGCGATTCTAATTTATAATTCTAAAGATTTGAATGAAATCAGAAGAATATATGTGCTGTATTTCCTGGGGTCAGAGGAGCCGCCATGTGATGGTGGATATGCTGCCTTTTTCTTCTTTTTTTATGATCTTTCTGGGTACCATCGCATTTTGGATGCTAACCTTGGACACGTAGGTCTAGAAAGTGCTTTCTTTGCAGAAAATATGCAAGGACTATTTATTGGACTTGTCATAATTCAGAAATATGAAATTTCCACTGCATATGATCAAGTTCCAAAAATAAAATAAATGAATCGATCCTCTTATAATAATCTATTGAAGATAAGAGGAAATGGGATCCAAGTTTCCCTCACATAGCATTCTATATATATCTCTAATCAGGCAATACCATCATTACTATATGATTAAATGAATGAACAAATCAAACCCTCCAAATTCCAAACCCAAGAACATCTTTCACGTCAAAATAACCCCAAAACCAAAACCCCGAAAGCCACCAAAAAGCCACCTCTCAAGGTATAAGCACTGCTTGTTGGAGCAACAGCAGGGCCACCCTCGAACTCAGCTGGAGAAGGAGCTGGAGAGATTCCAGTGTGTCTATGCTTTTGAGACAGAACCACCACAACAAATTTCTGTCCCTTCTCACAATGACCCTCAGCCCCACTGATGAAGTAGAATGGCCCTGATCTATCAAGCTTCACCTTGGTATTCCCATCCTTGTATTCCTCAATAGGGCTTGTAGTGCTGCAGCTAGCATAAGCCTCCTTGGTCACTTGCAAGACTGAATCTTTCTGGCCATCGTACTTCCACGCTGCCCAAAAAGTAGAGTTAGAAAATTAAAGTAATTGAAACCCAGATAATGTTTCAAGCACATTTTTATTAAAAAAATGAGAATTACCAAGAGAATCGCCAACAAGAAAACGAGCTTCTTCAGCCCATTTGTTAAGCGAATCAGACTCTGAAGATGGGATTTTCCATGCATCTGTTTTGCCCCCGACTAACAAATCTTTAGCTTGTGATAAACCCACAAAAAAAGACATCAGCACCAAAGTACATGCCACAGCTCTTTGAAAGCAAGTCATTGATATTGAGAGCTTAAAAAAGATGGAGAAACAGACCGGAGGGTTGTTGGTGGTTCTGGAGAGAAAGTAACTCGCAATTTGCACAAGGCAAAAGGCGTTTTTGCTGAATTTATAAGAGAGAATGAAAACTAGCCGTTACTGAAAAAGACGTTGATGTAGGGTTCCTGGGATATTGGGGGTCAAGGCCGTTTTGTACGTTTTTCAAAAGATGTGACAAGGTGATACAAAATTAAGGGTCAAAAGAAGTGGAAATCCTCTACATAAATCTATGCAATTTTTTTTTTTCTTGTATATCAAAAGTATACATAAATTTGGTGTAATTAAATTTTTGTAGTGCTATTTTTTCCAAGAAAGATAATATCAAATGCACAAAAAAAATACAAATCAATTAGATTTTTATGTTATTAAACTAAAAATGAAGAGGTAACATGTTTTTTTTGTATATTAATTATATTTTCTTATTTTATAGCAGAATTATTATAAAATAAGAAGTCAATTAGTATCTTTAATTAATATAATTAAGTAATATTAGAATATTGCATTTTTTATTCTTTTTTAACTCAATTTATATATAAAAAAAATAGAAACAATAAATGTGATTATATCTATATACACAGCTCAATATTATTACAGCTTTCGACTCGCCAACCCAAGTTGTCATTTAATGGGTTGGGCTTGGTATCAACCTGTCCATAATAAACTACACAATTATCAAACTCAACTAAATTAGGCGGAATCTCTCATTATATAATTGCCTTATTTAAAAAAAAAATCTTTAGAATTCTTCTAGTTAAATTTAGATAGATCAAGTTAAAAACTCGACTAAATTAACCAAATTTCACATCAATGGTTCCTTTTCTTTTAACTTAAAATCTAATGAGAATTAGATTTTGGATAACAATTTTTCAACCCCTCAATTTTAATTTAAAGTTTGTTTATTGTTACAATTTAACATACTTTTTCAAGTATTTTTCACCTGCAATGCTTTTTAAAATGATTTCACTCAACTAATATAAAAAATATTATTTTAATATAATTTCAATTAAAAAGATATCTTCCGCGCTATCACCACACACTATAAATATAATGCAAAAGGCAAAATCTTCAATCCGGGCTTCACATGTCGGATTGCAATGATGCAATTGCTACGTGTTCAAGAACCAAACGTTCATGTCAAACGGGGCAACAGTGTAAATTGGTTTCTTTAACCCTTGTTAAGTCTAGCTATCTAAGGTTGAGAGATCAAAGCCAGGGAACGGGAGCTGGAGGTAAAACGCACACCCACAAGATTGAGTCCTGAAGAAGTTAAATGGAACAGATGCAGATGATCCATCCATACGTGTAAACGACCCTTCACCACCACTACAATGGCAGTTACCGGGTTCGTGTGATCACTGCTGCTATTGGATATACGTTGCATGCCAAGAAAAAACCTGACGCCACTGCTCGTGACGTCGCCAAGGCGGCTACTGGTACTGCTGATCCTATAGACACCCGTCCTAGGAAGTACATAGATGGCTATAAAATCTTTTTTTCTTTTGCTTGTAACATGGAAGGGAAGTAGTTTATAATCTATATCCTGATTAGTTGATTTTTCAGGGTAATTAGTTGTTTCCATATCTAAACAAGTTTAAGATCTTTTTGGGAAGATGCAGGCTGTGGTGCACCCTATGATCCCATCCTATGTTCTTTTGGCTTGGGAATACAGGTCTCAACCCGTGAGTGGCGGCTTGCACCGCAGCCGCGCACTAAGAGTGTATTTAAAAATATAATAAAAAATGTGCTAACAATTATGATTTAAAATGTTTTTGGTTTAATAATATTTTTTTATTTTTTAAAATTATTTTTAACATCAATATTTCAAATTGATGTAAACATAATAAAAACAATTAAAAAAAAATCAAATTTTGAGGGTCTAAGACCACAAGAAGATAAGAGATCAAATGGGAGCATCACAAGATCGGTCACCAATCTATATAATTAAAGAAGAAAGTGATTCTTAAACAAAGGTTGAATAAAAGAACTATAACATCAAAATCATGACATGTCTGTCTCAATCCAAAAATGTGCAAATTGGTTTACATTTGAAAACATAATAATTATCTACTAGTTGTGAATCTTACCCTGTTTTGGACGTCGAGGTGGGGGAGAAAAGGATCTGCTAGAGTTAATCAATTTTCACTGATGAATAGATGAGCCTTGTGAACCATAAGCATGCATAGAATCCGATTGTCCCAGTTAGCACGAAAAATGCATACGATGCGACTAGCATGTATCCAAAGTACAAGGCCCCTGAAACCAGTTTGGTTATCTCAAGCTTTGTGAAGAAGTAGAATGTTGCATAGAGGAAGAGGTACAGTGCTGAGGAACCAGATGTGAGGTATGACCTCCACCACCAGAGGTAGTCCTCGCTGCATAACTGGAAGTAGCAGAGGACAATTGTTATTTCAGCACAGGTGACCATGAGTATTGCAAAAACAAGGAACAGGAAACCAAAGATGTAGTAGAATTGATTCAGCCAGATCGAGGTGAGAATGAAGAAGAGCTCGATGAAAACAGCTCCAAATGGAAGAATTCCTCCTATTAGAATTGAGAAGGCTGGGTTCATGTACCAAGCCTGCTCTGGGATCTGTCTCGGGATTTTGTTTGTCTTCACAGGGTCCTCAATTGCTGGCTTCTTGAACCCAATATAGCTTCCAACAAACACCAAGGGAACTGAAATTCCAAACCATAAGAATATAAGAGCAAACATTGTCCCAAATGGCACAGCCCCAGAAGATTTCTGGCCCCAAATGAGAGCATTCAAGACAAAGAAAATCGCAGAGACGACCCCTGGGAACATGACTGCAGTCCTGAGTGCAATTTTCTTCCATTCTGATCCTTTGAACATTTTATACAACCGGGTCGAGGCATAGCCAGCAAAAATGCCCATAAAAACCCAAAGTATGAGCATGGCTGTCATAAGACCACCTCTGTTTGAAGGGGAAAGGAATCCGAGAATGGCAAAGATCATGGTAACAAGGATCATTCCAAAAAACTGAACGCCAGTTCCAACATAGACACACAGCAGATCTGAATTAGATGGAGGCCTGAAAACATCTCCATGAACAAGCTTCCATCCAGTCTCTTCTTGAGCTTCCTCCTGGGTCTCAAGTTCATTGTACTTTGATATATCACGGTAAAGGGTTCGTAGCATGATCATAGCCACCATGCCAGAGAGGAAGAGAACAATCATCAAAGAATTTACAATTGAGAACCAGTGAATTTGGTCATCAGTCATTAACAGATAGGCATCCCATCTGGAAGCCCACTTCACATCACTGTCCTGAGGTAAATCAAGAGAAAATATGAGAATGCAAAATCAATCCATGTATGCAAAGTATTTCAATGTTATCTGCCCATGCAACAAATGAATAAAATGGTAAGGTGGCTCGCTGTATCATAGTTTGCCAAGGTGCTCAACAAAATACACGTCCAAACCACTGGCATATGGGGACAATAACTGATGACAATACAACAGCTTATCATGAAGTTGAAATACTAACAGATGACTACAACATAAGTTTTAACTATCTGAAGGAAAAGAAAAAGGAAACAAAAAGGAAAAAATAAAAATAAAAATAAATGTAAACTGTGTAGTCATGTGCAAGATCTCACCAGGAATTCAACATCGTATGTGAAAATGATTTCTGCTTTGTCTTCAACTTCTTGAGGAGTGTTAGAATTAACAACAGCATGTCTTGTGTGGGGGTCACATGTAGTTAATCGAGGCTTCTCATCATTCCACTTCCCTTCATATGCATGTTTAACGCTGGTATTTGAAAAAAAAAAAATCACAATCATGGAATCAGGTAAGATGCAACCATTTCACAGAAAAGATATGATAATTAAATAACTGACCTGAATGGTTTTACTTCAAATCCAACAATTCTTGCAGCATTAGATTGAGAATCTTTATGATACTTAACAATGAATGACAGGTGATTGTGGATAAAATACTTTTCCTCTTTGCTCTGCATATAACCAGACAATGTAAGCACAAGAAAAAACCAACACATTAAGAAGTAAGGGGAAATTTGAGTGCAATAACGCACATACCCCACTGTATTGGCCTTTGAGCCCAACATGATATCCAAGCTGGTAAACAGGATGAGATTCCTGGTCCAGCCTTTGGATGGGAACAACAAGAGGAAGGTTATCAAGGATCCTGTCAAATGAGTGATAGAATAATTAGAAAAACAAAGTTCATATCTCTCATCATGAAATTTAGTAGATAGACTCCACGCCTAAAAACAGTGTTTCATACATGTTAACTCGATACTCGTCATCAATCTTCTCTTTGAATGCCTTTGCAGTTTTGGAATCAAGTGTCTTCCGGCAAAGAACATTGCACATCTTTGCATCCCCCATGTTAAACTGCAATAATTCCAATCAAAAGGTCAGGAAAATAATAGTGCATGCATGTGAAGAAGTTAGTCCACACTCATCCAGCCTAACAAAACTGACCACATAGGGGGAGTTTTCAATGCGATCACCACGAAGTACTTCCCCAAGATTCTCAGCACTGTCTACAATTTTGGATGGGGTACAGAAAGGAAGAGTATAGTATGAGTAAGGAAGTTGTGTTTTTATAGAGGTCAATTTGTTTACTTTCACCATCAACTCGGCGCCCTGCAAACAGAAGGAAAAAAACAAATAAACAAATAGAAAAACCACACAATCAAAATGCAGCCTCTACCTTTATCTCCAACAATCACAACAAACACAATCCGAAAAACAGTATTGATAAAGCTCCTAATTATACAACCTCCCCAAAAAACAAAAGTCAGAAATAGATTCTTACTCTAAAAACACTTAGGATAATCAATATGAATTTTTTCATATTAAGCCATACCGCCACTAATTAACACTTAATCTCAATTACACTCACTAATTAACTACAGCATCTTCAACTATTTAATGCAACTGGAAAAGAAACACAACACAATGACTCCAAAACATCATAATGCAATAACAAATTCACAAGATAACTTCTAAGCAATTATTTTTATAAAACTAGCAAAAACCATAATGACTGTCAAGATTAAACATAAAGAACAAAATTAGTAAAACTAAACAGCGGACCCTCCTCGTAACTGACAATGTTGATCTAGATTAACATAAATAACAGCTAATCAAATCCCTAAACCACCTCCATTAACCTAAAAAAAAATCCTTCTATAATCAAATCAATCATTTTCACAAACGAAACAAAAATCTATCAAATCTCACATTCTCCTCGCACTAGAATCAAACAAAACCGATTTGAATAAAACTCAGCAAATATAACTCATAATAATCAAAATCCATAAGCAATTCGTATCAGTAACAAGCTTAATTTGAAATCAAATGCCATACTTCACTAGATATCAGCCTAATCAAATTCCCTAAACCACCTTCATTAACCTAAGAAAATCCTTCTGCAATAAAATCAATAATTTTCACTAACCAAACAAATATCACATCCAAACCTAACAAATCTCACATCCTCCTCGCATAAAATAAAACAAAACCGATCCGAACACAACTCGAAAAATATAATTGACAATAACTAACTTAATTTGAAATCAAATGCCATACTTCAATACAAAATAACTAACAAATCACACATTTCCCTTGCATAAAACAACAAGATCTCTGTAAATCAAATAAAAAACCGCAAAATGAGATCTGAAATGAAAATTTGTAGATCGTGCAGTGAGAGTAAAAGAGAGAGAGAAGTGGAGCTGACGTTAATGAAATCCTGAGGAGCGACGCCAGGGAGATAGAAGGAGTGCGCGCCATGAATAAGGATTGTGAGAATTGTACATATTGGCAACAGCAGAGATCTCGATCTCGCGCGAGGCGCCATGGAGGAGGAGGAAGATCTAGAGGAGTGATTTTGTTGTGGAAATTTGTGATAGAGGAAGGGATCGGGGTGTTGGTGCTATATTGTAATAGGGGGAGGGGAGGTGGGGGTCAACTAGTTTTTTGAAAGAAACGATGCTTTGGAGCAGTTGGATCTAGACGGGGATTTTAAATATTTTGGTGAAATTCATTTTGGTCCCTGTAGATTGATATATGTTCCACTTAGATTCTTATTGGCTTAATTTTGTTATTATAGCTCTGAAGGTGGAAGAAATTTTATTTAGTGCGTTAGAGAAATGGATACAAAACTATTAGATAATTATATTTAAAAATAATAAAATATTATAAAACTATGTGTAAAAAATACTTTTTTTATGCTTTCAGTGCATGTTTAATATTGTGATACATTATAATTTTAAAAAGTAATTTTCACTTAAAAATACATTGATATAAAGCTACTTTTTCTCCCAAATATGTTCTTTTATTATCTTAAATTGGAGTATTTAAAAAAAAAACATATTTTGCATGTTTATTCAAAATAAAAATTATCAATTGAGATAAAACAGGAATGTGAAAGAAATTTGTTCTCTCTCTTTCTCTCAAGGCAAGAAAGAAGAAGACGTTTGTCCTTGCAGGATTGATATGGGTAGATTATAGGGGTTTAGGTAAGCTATTTCTAAACTTCAGGGACTAAAATATGGCTAACTTTTATTTTATTTTTTTACAATTGGTGAATTTGGTAAGGTGAGCATTGGCATGGGTTTGCCGCGTTGGGGGATCCAGCATTTGAGCTTCAATCATGGTAAGAAAATCGCACTAGATTTGGATCTTTGTGACGTGTCGGTGATGACTCGTGTGGAGAAAGCCGTCGGTGGGGTTGGTTGACATGTCGGGTTCATCAACTAGAAATGTTATTTGTTGTGCCTTTATTTGATTTATTAATTAATTATTTATTTATCAAAAGGTGAAGCATGCGGGCATTCATTTAATAATGTTCAGAGTATTGATGGTTCGAATGACTATTTCCTATTATTAAAAGATTTGATGTGAAATCACATAAATAGTCGTACTTTTTTATTTTTTTTTATTGATTTCATTCTTAACATTTGACTGTTTTTTTCATAATTTATTATTTATTTTAATTTATTTAATTTCAAACAAACATCACAGTAATTTATTGGCTCTTAATTTTACAAGTATTTATTGTCATCATGGCAGAACAAAACTTTGTTTACTTACCCTATTAATGGCTCAGCGAAGGCTCAACAAAAAGAAGAGCAGCTTGATGAATAGCTTGCGCGCGCGCTGGTAGTCTTGGAGTGACGTTGTGGTGCCTTCGGCTAGTGGCAGTGACTTCATGTTTCAACCATATCCATGTGATTCAGGAGGTTATATAGTTAACGACTTCAAGCTCCTTGCAACATATCTGATATCTGCTCTCTTTCCATTGAAATCAATAAAAAGAATTCAGTTTCTTCAATCGGAAACCGCAGGATATAAAACTGATTCTACGACAATCGATAGCAACATCATTTTCTCCAACGAATTGAGAGGTCCTTACAGTAGCGGCGGGTAACTTATAAGAACATATCTGATATCTCCTACTAATTTTCAGAGGCTTGTGTTCATATATAACAATGGTTATATAACACGATGCTCTCTTTAATTGTAGGGTGTTTGAGAATATATCAGGCGGTGATGTTGCTATCATAACTGTGAAAGGTGTGTTCTGCAGATGAACTTAACCTTTGAAATGAAAAGAAAATTCACATAACATATATATATGTTTACTATGCAAGATCACGTTGCTTGGATATACTTCCAACGAAAGAAGATGATCCGAAGTGGTTAGCAGGACAAAGAAAGAAAGAGGAGGGATCCTTGAGAAATGGATTAGCAGATACCATAAAGATAAACTAGTCCAACGAAAGAAGATGATCCGAAGTGGTTATGAAACTCGGCCTAAGATTTATTGTCACAAGCTGAAATATTTTCTGTTGGTCCTTCTTACCATCCTTCTTTCTTTCCTGGATCGACCAAACTCCAAGGTCCATTTCCATTTTGCAGAGACTGAAAGTCTGAAACGTAGGATTGAGCTATCTTCCTTCACTTTTCCTTCCCATTTGGGCTGCACTTACAGCTCGACATTGAACCAAATTAGTCTCATCTCTCACTAGGAGTTTGGGCTGTGTCTTTACAAAGAGAGTTCCATAAAAATAAAAATAAAAAAGGAGAAAAATTATCTAAGTAATTATCTCAAGATTTGAACCCCGTAATGATAAAAGCCAAAGAGCATTTAATTTTGTTAATTTTCTTAGAAAATTCCAGCTTCTCAGAATTCTGGATAGTAATCTTGAACAGCTTTCCTTACTTTCTTTGATTTTAATCTTGTCAGCACCGATACTATGGGAAACCAGTCCCGTTTGGATCAAGGCAAGCTGCCTTGAAAAAGGCTAGCACACTCGGATAATTCAAATTTCAACTCGGTTCAAGCTTTAGCAAGCTATGCCGAAATTATCATCTATGTAGAGGAGGAATTCCATGCTAAACACTCTCCTTGCTTGTCGTTGGAGCATCATATGGTGATAGTCAGGTATTCCATGGCATATAAGTTTTCGAGAAACTCTGTTTCTCACCTCCTATTGTTAATTTGCTTTCGGATTCTTCTTCTCATTCCAACTTGTTCTTGTAGTGTTTGCTTCTTGGTTCCGGCTGAAATATCCACATTTTGCCCTCGGAGCTGCGGCCTCTTCGCCTCCAATCCTATGCTTTGATGACATAACACTAGCAAATTCCCACGGAGCTCTGGCCTCTTCAGCGCCAATCCTGTGCTTTGATGATATAACACCAGAAAATGGCTATGTTTCTATTTTCACCAAAGATTTCAGAGTAAATAACAAATTCTGATGTTTTTTTTTCAGTTCTGTTTTGGTTCGAAGTTCAGAGTTTCAGCCAATTTGATTTCGGTTTGCAGGAAACCAGTGAGAGATGCCATGATAATATAAAAAATTCATGGACTGTGATTGACAAAATTGCTTCCAAACCGAATAGTATTTCAATCCTGGGCTAGAAATTCATGACTTGCACATAATGCTTCGGTTTTTGCAATCGGGTTTTGATTCCTAGATTTGAAAATTTATGATCCTGTGTGATCTTTTACTCTTCTCTTAGGCCCTAGAAAAACTCTTCTGAGCTCAAAGACTACTTGCCCCAGACAGACATATATGGCTTCTGCTTAATATGATTCATCACTGTATCCATGACATTGATGGATCTTCCACAGGATCAAATCCGTGTTATGTTAATCAACGCACAGAAGAAACTGAAACAGATATAGATGGAGTTGGCAGGTAATTAGATCATGGAAGAACTGCGTTTTCCTTATCTTCAATGAGAGCTCAAAAAGATTATGCAGTCCTATATTCTTACCAAGTCTAGCTCTGTGTTAACGCCCTGACGTTGTGATACATTTTGCCAGCGACAGTGATTCCAACACATTGGGTACTACTTATTTTGGAAGCCATGTATGCCATCCTCTTTCCCCTTCGTTTTCCTCTTTCACTCCATCCTAGGTATTACTTGCCTGCAAACTTTGGTCTGGCGATGTCCATGGAAAATTGCAGGCTACAAAACTGATTCATCATTTTCTCTAATGGACTAAGAGATCCTCTTTATGTCAAGAGAGAAGACGATTGCAACATATTTCATGGCACCAATATATTTCACTGATTTCTTTCTCATACATAAAATTTCTCTTTCAACAATCTCGTCTTCTTCTTTTCGCCGTTGATTAAAACAGAATCAAGTTTTTAACTTGAACACGAGCTCTTTCCCGACTCCCTAGTTACTCGTGGATCACCTTTTTTTTTAAATCGAAAACAACGTTGTTTTAGTTTGTTTTAAGATTTCTTGGTTTTAATGGATCAACCTACCAGATCATCTAAATGGAAGACCTAGTCTAGATCAAGCTTCAAATACCGAGTAGGTCCGACGAGCTGGAAAAAGTTTAGAAACTAGGAGTGCAATCCTTGACCTTACCATGACAGGTGTTGATTATTCTAAGTAATACAAGTGTGCATTATCATCCCACGTAGAGAGCGAAGAATATTATTGTGAGGGGGCAAGGGTAACTGACAGTCTGTGCAATCATGTCGAGCTCTAAGAGCATAAAACCTGGAGAAAAATCTCAAAAGCCATAACCTGCGGGCAAAACCCATCACTCAAAACGTGAATTCATGCTAAGAACTCAAAAGGAGGTTTGGCATAAAGGGATCCAATGGCCCCCCACATTGGCCTTTTAGCCAAGGTAATAAAGCCCGTCCACACCGTAACCATTATCACCTTGGATCCTCCATCATTCCCATCATCATTAATTTATGATGGTTTTTTCCCACGCCTGACATAATTTTTTCCTTGGAGTCACACATGAGGATCATTTAGCCTAAGACTTGCTTTTGTCAAAGAATATACAGTTACCCTAGCTGTGGACTTTGGTTGTTTAACACCGTCCACAAGTAGCCAGTTCATCCTATCATTGAAGTTAATCAAGGGGAATAATTTTCTGCTTATATTTACCATTTCAAGGAGTACAAGACTGTTTCGGTATTCTATTTTAGGCTTAATATAATCATAAAGTCGTTATGAATTACATCAACTCCAGCAGTCAAATAAGTACGTATATGAGAAAGATTTCAAACATTTTGGTATATTTTGACAGGATTTTAACCTAAAATATAGATGAATGTTTTGTTTTTAATTTTTTTCAACCAATACCAAATACACTACCTAACATCTTGACCATTATGGAAAAATGAATGGTATTGATAATAGTTATTGAACTTCAATAATTTAGAGTTGGACAGTTTGATATGTAACCGGGATGATATAAAATTAAAATTGTCAATTTCATCATTTTCTCTTTAAAATAACTGGTATATCTCCTTCTAGTTCAAAAAATGAAATAATCCAGAATAAATATATCTTGCTTGAGTCTCAGTCTATTCTAAAAATTATCGTCAGAATGTTTCGATCCAAAAAAAATTATTTTTTTAAATATATATTATTTTTTTAATTTTATTTATCAATACTTAATTTATTAAAAATCAAACTTTATAATTTATTAAAGTTTATATTTTTATGGTTATATCAGTCTTCTAAACTAAAACATATTATTCTAATTAAAAAACCAAAATACCATCCAAAATAGAATTTATAGCCTTGCTTAATACCTTATTTACTCAGGTTAAGTTTAAAAAATCAGATAGAAGCTGATCTAGTCCAACTTAAACAATTTTATGAGTTTTCTTGCTCCATGATTAAAATTTAATTAAAATTTTTAAAATAATTATATAATTTTGATATTTTTTATTAAAAAATAAAAATATTATTATTTTAATTTATTTAAATCGATAAAAATTAATCGGCCTCATCTATATCCTAGATTGTACCTCGAGTCTTGTTTAATAAGTTTGGTGACAATAGACTCAGCTATGAATATGAATGAAGAAATGAGTGCCGGCTCTTTCAGCTAGCCCCAGGAAGTAACTCTTTATTTTAGAAGGAAAGGAACAGTCAAATTTCCAAGTTTGACATGGAAATTAAAGAGCAACAACTACCACCATTGCAGGCTAGTATCTGCGTCTGTGTCTCTTCTAGGTTGTGGACTAGCAGGCTGCTAGCAAGCAAGCTAGCTAGCTAGCTGATGCAAGACAGGGGTGAATGTTATCATCATGGATATAATCATTGGAAAGGCCAACCTGTGGAGTAAACGAAAGAGTACTCCTAATTTGATGCTATAGATAGCCACTCTGTGTCTGAGATATCAATTTTTACCACTGCTACTGGTAAAAAGTACATGAGTCGTTGAATTGCATAATTATGAGGCAGCTGTAAAGGATGACGAGGGCCTGGTGGTGGTGGTGGTGGTGGTGGTCTGAAAGGATCACCAGTCCAAATTTATGCATCAAGCCATTAATTTGAGAGGTCTGGATACAGGACAGTATTCCACTCTATAGGGTCCCCTACTGTTTACCCCTACCCTTCACATGTCGCTTGGGACCAGTTTAAGGTTGCATGTACCAATTTTCCTATGCTAATATTATGTGATAACTAGGGAGGGTTTTGAATTGTTTGCATGAAGGGTCAATACCATTTCTACATGCACCCAGCAAAATAAAAGAAGAAAATTGTTATTGGTTATCTCCCGTTTGAGTTTTGAAAGCTTGTATGGTTATTAATTTTAAAGTTTATGAAATTAGTTATAGTATACGCAAATTATTCTAAATATTCATATTAATCTAAAAAAAAAATTATGATAATGACAAATAATAAGAATTTGAAACTAAAAAATTAGTCAAAATACATGTAAGCTGACCCAAACATCCATGTTAAACTAAAAAAAAAAAGATCAAAAAGCTGCGGCACCATGTTTGCACTACCATATTTCCCTTTATTTTTCAGTTTTTATAGTGTGATCAAGAACAATGTATTTTTAAAAATTTTAAATATTTTTTTGTGTGGAATAATGTTTTTATATTTTTTAATAGTTTTAATATGTTGATGTCAAAATAATTTTTAAAAATAAAAAAAAATTATTTTAATATATTTTAAAATAAAAAATACTTTGAACTATCACTACTTTATAATCTCTAACACACCCTAGAGTATTTTCAAGACAAATTTCATGTATTATATTTTTTTGTTTTGAATTAGACTTTAAATAAATTATATGTTAACTTAATTATAGCCATTAAATCTAGCTCAAAATGATGAGTTGACATTGATTTACTCATTTTTAATTAAATTTTATTTTAAATTATTTTAGATATTAACGTGATCAAATATGAATAATTCAGCACATTAACATGTACCTCAGTTGTTTCGGTTAAACTCAAGAGAGACATAGCTAGATAAACTTTAATTTTTTAATGTTATATATCAAAAATATGTATAAAAATTACTAATTTAATATTTTTTAGATTGAAAAAACATAATAAAAAAAGCAATTCTGATTGCATTACCGGAAACATGATCCTTGAAATTGGAAAGTGGATGTTCTTGATTTGGCTGTGATCCTCGGCCTTTCTCGGGAGAGTAGTTGTAGTACTACAAGAACTCTGCATAAGGATTCACTAAATCTACCAAATGGGACATTACGGGAACATGCTGACCCATGGGGAAAGGAGATAAAGAGCACATCATCATATATAAGAATATATTATTATTACATATTTGAAATGTTACAAATAAAAATATAAAAAATCATTTAAAATTAAAAAAACACGTTCCTGATGTAAGAACAAACATGCTCGAAATCTCTTGATTTGCTACTAAAAAAGTAACTGAGAATTGTGGTCACCTTTTACCTTCTTTGACACGGCTAGTTTTACCTGCTTGAATCAGATTCGAACGCCAGTCAATAGGCTAAAAATCACCAATGCTAACCAAATGGGAGAAACCAAAACAAAATTATTATAAAGATTTTAGTCGGATTATACAAGAAATTGATCCAGCAAAACTCGTTGGATGCATTCAGGTTTATAGAAATTAAATCAGTCTTGCTAAATTTCATCCAAATCCAATGCCAGGGATGGAAACACATGTAAATGTTAAGTCAAAGGTGTAATAGAAACACAGCAAATAGAGTACTTGCTAACAAGGTAAGAACTGCAGTTTGTTGACAAAACTGGGAGGCAAAATTCCTGTGCAGAAAGGAAAGAAACAAGCATTAGGACAGGAAAACTACTAAACAGTGGGTCAATGGCTTTTTTGTTTCAGCCGGTCCGAAAGCATGTGATGTGCTTTAACGGCATAAAAGCTCTCCCTTGAAAAGGTCACATCCTTAGTTGTAAAATACGACCGGGGCTAGGTTTGGGCTATGGATTTGAATGTCGACTAAGATTGATTTTATTTTATTTTAATAATTAATTTTATGTTATTTTGACTAATTTTGTTTAAAAAATCAATGAGTTTAGAGTTAGGTTTTAACTAAATTAATGAATTAATTCAAGTTTTTTAATTGAATCTAATATATTTTAATTCAATCCAATTCAAATCTCAAATTAATTTTATTTTAAATTAACCTGTCAAACCAATCCAGATTTTACAACAATAACCTACATCTTAGAGTCTCCTCTCCTCCTACCCCTGTACAAACATCACCCCAACAAAAAGTATCTAAAAAGAAAAAAAATATTTTTTCAATTAAATCCATAATGTTATATAATTATATGTAAATTGTGATACTCTTCTATCCATGTTTGTTGATGAATCCGTTCCTGTCTGAAAGACTGCACATTTCATTACAATAAGAATGATGGAGTAGTATTTCGAAAGGGTCTTGGAATTTTCTATTAGATTTTATTTTTATAATGCTCAACAAAGGGGTA